TTTTAGTTCATCCTGCAAGGAGAAGGCTTTTGAAGGCTTTTGCTTTATTATTCCTATTAATGGCTGTGGGGGGAAAATCGTACAATTAGAGGGATATGGTAGCATTTCCAATGCTCTTTCTACTACCCAAGCTGGTCTCTCTTATCCATTATGTTTCAATAAGCCTATGAGAGATTGTTGCTTTATTTACCAATATAACACTTATTTTTTAAAAGGCACTTTAATGCATTGAGATTACAGAGATAGCTCCCTTGGGGAGCTGACAACCTAGCAGGGAGATAGACAATAAACGTTCAGTATAATGAGTGCCATCAATACAAGTTAGTACAGTGATACCATGGGAGCATATAGAATGTGCATTTTTACCCAGACTGAGGCAAGGGAAGAATGGGAAGATGCAAGGCTTCCTAGAAGTGATATGTGTTCTGAATTTTAAGAAATTATTCTTTCATAGACCAAGCATTCATTCACTGCATTGTGCTAAAAATACTTTTCTGCTCCACTGTCTGCCTATAAGCATATGCCAGTACCAGGATGAATCATTAACAAAACAACTTTTTGGAATCTCTCCATCCTGGTTCGTTGGCCTTAATCCTCAATTTGGTTCAGACCACACAGGATTACATTTTTTCTCTATTTTTTTCTCTCTTCCACAATTCAGATAGCTAATTATGAGGTTTAAAATACAAATATCCTTTTATAAGAATAGCAAATACCTGCAACCCAACAAACTAGGAATGTTGCTAATATTAAAAATCTCTGAAAAGAAAGAGTGAAATTCTATTATCACCTTCTTGTGTCATCTCTTTCAAGTCCTTCCCTGGCTCACTCAGGTAGAGTGACTCAGTATGAAGTTCATCTATACTCCCAAAGCACCTTGTACATATTTCATGTTACATATTAGCTCTTATGTCTGTCTTGCTTACTAGACTATGAGTGTTTTAAGCAGTAGCACTGTGTCTTTTTCAACTTTTCATCCTCAGTGCATAGCACCAATCCTGGTTCATATTAAACATTCAGTAAATGTTTATTCAATGAATAAACATGGAGGAATATATACCTTTCTTAAGATATTTTAGCCACTTCCAGAAGTGATATGCAAGATCTCTTTGTTTACCATTATCTATCTGTTTTTAGCTTTTTCTTTACCGGCATATCCTACTGTTTCTATCAGGATCATTGTTCAACTGGATATTTGGGAAATTATACCCTCTAGCACCTCTCAAGACTAACAAGGGCTTTCTGCCTACTACTTTAAGAAAGAATGGCTCTGAAATGCAACTACACATGGCAGCCAGTAAGACTATAGAGAGTTTTCCAAGAAAGAAATCTTATTTAGATATACAATACTGAAATTATAAGCAACATTCTTAAGTGGAATTAGAAGAATACATTCATTTGCCAAATTTTTATTGTTTCTTTCTCCCAGAATTTTGTAAAGTTCCTTGTTTAATGAGACAAATAAAATAAGTCCTTCCAGAAGATCACGATTTAGTGAGGGAGAAAACAGGCAAGTAATCACTACTGCTAAAGTCTGATGTCTCAGTTCACATTTGGAATGTTCCAAGATCAATCTAGAAGTTATTCTAATCCATTATACAGATATAGGTTGGTTAACTTAAGTATTCAACTTAAAAAGTTACTAGAATCGGGCTTCCCTGGTGGCGCAGTGGTTGGGAGTCTGTTTGCCGGTGCGGGGAACGCGGGTTCGTGCCCCGGTCCGGGAGGATCCCACATGCCGCGGAGCGGCTAAAGCCCGTGGGCTATGGCCGCTGAGCCTGCGTGCCCGGCGCCTGTGCTCCGCAATGGGAGAGGCCACAACGGTGAGAGGCTCGCGTACTGCAAAAACTCTCTTCTCTAACAAATATGCCTGTTTATGTTAAAAAAAAAAAAAAAAAAAAAAAAAAGTTACTAGAATCATTCTGAAAGTGGGAAATCCAAATCATCAACACTACAGGGGTGTATACCAGTGACATTCTATAGTTCTTTTTTATTCTGGTTTGTTAGCGAAATCAGGAAATTTGACTTATAACAGCAATTCACATTCATGTTCTGGTAACTTTACCAAAGCATTCACTTAGTTCAATATCCTTCACTTGTCTTCTAGAAACAGGAGAGATTCACAGTAAATTATGGAGGACTAATGTTTCTGGAGGCTTAATCCAAGTATTTCTTAAGCAAAAATAAATTTGCTTGGCAAGTTCCTTCCTGTCTTGGGCATCAATGTCTCCAGCTATCATACCAGAGGATAGTCTCAGAAAACCACTAAGGAAGCATCCAGGCTAAATAGCTTATAGGCTTAGGACTCTTGAAACATATGATTAGCCTGAACTAGGATAACTAGATATGGGAACAGACAAGAAATACACCAGGAATTTATTTCTAAACTTTAACATTTGTCATAAAGAAATCACAGTTGAAAGGAAACCCACAGCAACAATCTTATTTGTGATGTCTAGACATCTCTTCTGTATTTCCACATATTAATCTGTCCCATTTTAACTACCTGGTAATAGCAAATGATGGCACAAAAACTTTTGTTATATAGACCACTGACCAATAAACATTAGTACAGCAGACTTCTGTTGAATTGAGCAGACTTCTATTGAATTGAAAGTTTTAGGTTTTGTTACTCATTGTTAATTGCATCAAATGGATGATGCAATCAATTTTCATGACAAACACTTTTGAATAAATGTGATAAAGATCCAAGAAACATCACAGAGATGGAAACTCAAATAATTGTATTTAGATTAATCTATGGTAGATGGTAAGAAAATTGTGGCCAAAGTTAAACTCTTTTTGGGGAGCAAGAAATCAGCCTAACTTATAATTTTGATAATCAAAAGGTAATCGACTTTTACTCTCTTAGGAATATGCCATTCCAGTGAATTTTCATCTTGTGTTTGTAAAATGTGGATTTTACCATAGGCCTTAACTGTAATAATGAGGAGGTGTACATGAACAGTAGCTACATAATTTTATTTATTACTTTATAGAGAGAAATGTAATACCTTAACTTTAAATATCAATAGTTTTTAATTTGTAATACGAATAGAACTTGACTTTGAATAAGGACGTCAAGTATCTTAAATCCCAGAAATTATGTTCTCTTTCTCCCCACTGCCCTGTTTCTTGTTGCTATAAATGTTTATCAAATTCCTAGATGTTTCTATTTAGTTTTTAATATCATTTCTTTTTGTTTTCATAACAGTAACCTAATAATGGGATGCCACATTTTTAAAAATGTAGATTGAAATATCCTATCATACTTCACAGTTGGTCTTGCAATTCACTGGGAAATAGCTCTAAAGCCTTAAACAAGGCCTTTATTTTGTGTTTTAAAAAAGTGTCATAAGGAGTTAATAGGACACAGCTGTACTGGTTCTTTCTAATAAGCAGCTTCTGTCGCTTTGGTCACCACAGGTGTCTCTGTAACCTGCAAACTCTTATTACTAGTGTATCAAAGTTGTGCTACTTAACAGACTTCTTTAGTAAAACATAACAAAGCAATTACATGGCTGTTGATTGCCAGTCATAAAAAAACCCCCTCAAACACTACTTTTCAAAAGAAACTACACTGCAATTTTTTGTCATTGTAAAATAAAAGGAACTAAGGAATTAAATGGAGGATAGAACAAAATAACAGCAGGTAGCCCGCTGAACTTAGCCACTACAGATGGTTTAGAAATAGTGTTTCCTTCTCCATTAAGTTGTGGATAAAAGGAAAGGAGGAGATTCCTTACTGCCAGTGAATGGCAAAAGATTTAGCCAAGTCTCCAGTCTATGTATTTTGCCTCATGAAAGCCCTTCGATGCTGCATTTTTATCTGTTTTTGGCACTGCTTTTCATCACCTTTAACTGAGTGTGAATAATAACCTGATTTAATTTAAACAAATACAGGTGCTAAAGGTTCTTTATTTATGTATAACAGGGAACATTTCCAAGGCAGAACGAAGTCATCCTATGAAATTTCCTAACCATTTACTTAAAGAAATGAAGTATTAGATGAAGAAATTGCTTCAACATTCTTTTGCTTCACATTTAAGAGAAGAATCATCTTTCTTTTCAGATTCAGATTACATAAAACAAAGTCTGAATGATGAGCAAAAATTCAGTGAGCCATAAAATAATAAAAAGACAAATCAGATGATTTCTAATTGTTCTACAGTCATTTAAATTAGGTAACTACAATAGGATTGCCTTGAAATGAATGAATTTAATCTCCTTGTTCATAAACCAGCAGTCTGTGATGATGATTGTGTTAACACACCCAAAGTAGCATCACAGGATGTTATGGCCACATGTGTAATTAAACACGATGAAATATATTTCAGATGGCAAACTCAAATAGGCAAAATATGAATAATTATTCATCACTTACAGATATTATGATTAACAAACTAAGTAAATTTATCCTGACAGCTAGGAAGGGGATTTTTTTTTTCCCCCATTGAGAATATGGATGTAACGCTGGCTGTGTGCAAAAGAATGTGTGCAATAAAGCGATTACATCAATTAGCATATGCTAGAGTTAAGCTATTACCAACTCCAATGGACTGGTCCAGAATGTCCTGCCTTCATCACTGGAATTATTAAAAACTAAACTTACTAGTAGGATTATATATTAGATTTTCCTTGTCTTTTCTGAATATTATTAGAAACATTTTAATATTCAACAACATATTAGAACATAAGAACATACAGTACATAGGAAGGTACTATATTACTATTATCACAAAAAGACAAGAACAATGTATTTTGGTTTTGGTTTTCAGGTTATTCTTGAATTTAAGAAATCTTTTATTAGGTTAAGGTATTTTTTCACAATCGAAAATAACTGCATGTTAACTATAACAAATAGCTTTTATCTAATTAAATGTAATAATAGAAAATTTAATGCTGAGGATGAAAATGTTTATGATGATAAGAAACCAAATACAATGATGACTTTTAACAATAAAAAAGCCCAACTTATAACTTGTGAACAACAGTATTACCTTGCTCTGTTGGCGTCCTTTGTCAGGTCCCAAGCCCAGGTTATAAAATTTTGACTCAGATAAGAGACGATAGATTCAGCACAAAGCATTTGTGAGCAGAACACGTTGGTTAATACACTTTCATCGTGGTGGAGGTAGACAGCAAGAAGTTTTCTCTGAAAAGAGGGGTAAAGACTGATGAATTAAAATATGCACTAATATAAGATTTCTTGAATTTTGGAAAGGCACAGTCAGTCAATATAAACAACAGTAAAAATTAAATGCTATTCCCTAAAAGAGTACCTGACACCTGGACATCTACTAATGTGAATACATTTTGCTTCCTTACACTCTAAAAAGGCTAGAATGATTGTATTGTTTTACAGACTGCTGTCGCAGATTCCTGTTAACATGTGCAAGCCTATCTCAAGCACAAATTGCAACAGAATGGCATTTTCTTTAAATAAAATGGAATTACCATTCTCTGTATTTAACACATACTTTATATGTAAAGAGAAAATTAATTTTGAACTATTCAACTATACAGAGAAAAAAATACTGATTAAGATTGGATGCCAAAATCTCTCTTACATATTTTTTGTTTTTAATCTGAGCACTAAATAGTCTCTTCTACTTGAAAGAAAAAGGTCTGAAATAAACTTGTTTTAGTTCCACAGGTAATTTCAAAGCCCTTAATGTGTTCCCATGTCAAAGTCCTTACTTAAGAGGATGTGACATCTAATTGCCATTTGAAAGGATGATAGAAAAATGTTCACTTCACATGAATTCTTTCTAGTTTATATTTCAGAAAATGTCCAGTGAAGTTTTTCATATGGAGAATTATTCTTTCCCTTTTGCCTGATAAAACTTGCTTTCAAGAAATGACATCTGCTCTCTTAAAAGTATCCTCTGTAATAGTTGGATAATCAATAAAATAACTGAAACTAAAAACTGAAATTGAGCAACATAATTTGCAAATGTCAGCTTTAACCACAACAATGATGATTAAAGAACCTAAATTGTCCTTAACTTTTTGGTGCTACCTTGTAGAAGAGCTGAGTTAAAGAACAGTCAGTTACCAGGACACGGAAAGATAAAATTTTATGGTAAGGACAATATACACATCTAATCTGTGAAATTCTGGTGAAGGAAAATTTCAAGGAAGCTGTAAGAATGTGATGATGAAGAAATTTGCTGTGTGGGATTCTAAACAAAGAAGGACATTTACAGAAAAAGGGCTCATGTTGATGAAAGTCTGATGCTTGGAATTATCCTGATAAATAATCCAAATAATAATCCTAATAATAATAATTAAAATATTTTCTTCAAAGAGAAATTTTGTACTAGATGAGGGTAGCCAGAGGTACTTTAATCCCCAGAATAAACCTGTAAAATAGTATTCTTAACTTCATTAGCCTATGCGGAAATTGAGCTTTAGAAACCTGACTTACCCTAAATTCTAAAACTAGTAAGTAAGTGGTACATCTGGGATTGGAACCCAGATTGACTGACTCCAAGCCTAGTGTTCTTTCTTTGGATACTGAAGCAGGGAACCTAACTGCACCATAGTCAAGACTTGGAGAGCTTGTAGAATATTAAGGCACCAGATGCTCATATATCGGTGCTTCCAGGGCCTCAGAGACAGCATGTAATGGGAATAAGGACAAAATGCTTCCATGTGTCCATTCATTCATTCAAGAAGTATTGGTTAAAATATTCTTTGTGTCAGGCCCAGCAGGAAGCAGTGGTGATTAAATGCTGAACAAGAAAGATTTAGGGTTTTTTCATCTATGTTGATATATGCAGATACCAGTAGCTGGTATGTAGGAAGTTTGTAATCAGATACATTGTTGGAGAGATACTTATCTAGGAAATTCCTACTCATCCATTAAGGCTCAAAGCAAATGCCTCTGGGAAGCCTTCCCTGATTCCTTCAGGCAGCATTAAGAGCTTCCATTTCTGGGCCTCTATCTCTTCTATTTTAGTATTACAATTGTTTACCAGTTTCCCCTCTAGACAAAGCTTCTCAAGGGTGAGGACCGGGTCTCTTTCAGTCTTCTTTGTATCCCTAAGTTAGCACAGGACTCAGCATGTTTGAGGAAAGAGACATGAATGCTGATATCAACCATAGCCCTCTGGCAAAAAAGACACCAAATGGTAGCAGCAATGCCAAATCACTCTTAGTAAACAAATCTAGAAATCTGCTGCTTTAGGGAAAGGAACAGGAACCTGGCAGCACTAACAAATTCAGAGCTCCTCTTCTTAGAAGCTCTCTGGCCCAACAGACAGGGGGATGTCAACCTCTAATTCTGCTTGATCGTATCTCAGCAACTACCTTTAATGAGACACTGGGAACAAGAGAGCTGTCCACTTCTGAATCAGCATATTTCTAACCAAACAATAGCAATGGCTAAATCTTTAAAATGCATATTTCTCTCAAGAACACTGCAATGGAATATTTAGACTTTGGGAAAGAGATTAGCGATTTACATTGCTATCTCAGTGATTTAATTTAAATGCTCTTCCAAACCAAACACACATGTGCTGAAGAGGCTACTAGGAAACCCAACATGGAGAGTTCCCTATACATGCAGCTGACAGTGTTGACTGAAACTAAACTTGGAAATCCAGGGCACTAATGCACAATATCAAGCAATAAAACAGCATCTCTTTGGCAATATTTAATTTAAAAAAGAAGAAAGAGGTAGGCGAAGATCAGGCACTGTTTTGGAGGATCAACCATTCTGCATTTCAAAGCATTGGTCCCTGCAATATCCAGGTTACTGTGCTAGAATCTCAACTATTATATCGCAGTTGTGAGAGGGAGGGCAAAGATGTGTTTACTCAGTGATTAGGCCCTTAGAATAAGCCTCTAGCTCCTAGAGAGACAGCTCACCACTTATTCATTTGGGCCAATTCACAAAGCCTAGGAAGATTAAACATCCATGCTGAGAAGACAAGCGAATGCAGACGGTGAAAAAGAAATAAAAATTCTTTAAAAACTCTGAGATGACTTCATTATTTTTCCACAAGGAAACTTTAGGAAAGTGTTTAGTTAGAGAAAAACCCACATTGACCTCTCTCTAAACCCTTAATCTTTCCTTTGTGGTGGCATTGCTTTGTGGTAAGCGACTGGCTCGCCTCACCCCTCTTTTCACTAGAAGCTGAGAGAAAAAAGGCTCTGGAGAAACAGTTTTCGTTCTAGGGACACAAACCCCTGACACTGTTAAACATGAGATGCCAGGAAAACACACTTAAAAAAAAATTCTCACTTTAAGCTCTAAACTGTGAGAAAGGAGATGATACAAAATATCAGAAAAGGATCTTCAGCTTGGGGGTACTCCCACAGTAGCTTTCAAAAGGGAAACCGAATACTCTTAAAATAATCTTTTCTCTCAAACACAGTAAGCTTTCAACAAAAATTTTTCTTCTGCTATTATGACAGTAAAAATAAGCAAAATATAAAGGCTCAATAATATGCAAATGCTACTAAATTTGGGCTACATAAATCTCTGATTAAATTATAGGCACACCTAAATGAACCCCAGACTCAGATTTCTGATTACTTTATTGAGCTCAACTAAACACAGTCCAAAACAGTGAGAACTGTGTTCAGTGTATCAGAAAACTGCTTTTGTGAAGAAAGGGCATCTAGTACATAGAAAAAGCATAGGAAAATGTTTTGTTTTCCATTACTATAACCATTTTTCCCTTTGGCCCATTAATAATTTAGTTCAATAACATTTACAGAGTGCCTATGTGTTAGGCATTGAGAATACAAAGATGAATAAAACAAAGTTCCCTTGCTCTCTAAGAGTTGGGGGTGGGGAGGGGATGGCATATGGAGAAAGCAAAGAGTTAATTGCAGTATCATATGAGAAGCAATAAGATGGGGGCATTAAAAAACCCTACATTTTATTTGTCCTTCCTAATTTGGCAGAGAGGTGTAAGTCTGGCTGACGACAAAGGCAAGCAGCCCAGCTATACTCTCCTCAGGCTCCCTCTTTGTGATCTAGGTTTTGGTTAACAGTTAAAGGAAAGTCTCCAAGCATTAAAGTAACAGAAAGCTCTGTGCTAAACCCAGTTTTGCCACTCACCAGCTGTGTGACTGTGGGGGTTAGATGGGTGTTGTAACAATTGTGGATAAAGAAGGTAAAGTGCCTATTTACAATGCCTGGCCCATAGTAGGTGCCAAGTAAAATGCAGCTGTTAGGATCAAGATTCTGGAACTATCCATGCAAAATAAAGGATTTGAAAGCCATTTCAAGGGAAATGATAGCCATGAAAATGTATGAAAGATTATACAGCTCCTTCATTTCTCCTACTGGGCATAGTGTCTGGGATGCTTCATTGTGTCTGTGCCTTCAGAGCCTCACTAATCTTCACATTCAAACCCAGGAGCTAAGGTACTAAGTTGATGCTTAGGAAGTGCCAAGCTGACAGCAACCAGTGTGACTTGGCCTTGAGCTACAGTAGCTATTGTATTTAGACACTTAGCATCACAGAACCACAGAACATTAGAGCTGGAAGAAATGAGCTGGCTATGTCTCAAAATAAGCCAGGCACAGAGCAGACACTTAGAAAATATTTGCTGATGGACTGAAAAGGAAGTTGTCTAGTTTCATTTTAAGTACGAGAACATCCATAATCTGTGTGTTCAATGATTTTGAAGTTGATATGACAATTTCTAGAAATGGTATTTCATAGTTTTTTCAGTATAAGAATTAAAACAAATTAAAAATAATTTCCTTTGTATAAATTGGGAGCTGATTTTACTTCTCCTCTTTCAGTTTCCCTTCTCCTTTTCTATCATTATCATCACCATAATAATCAGAATTATCGCTGTTCTTTTCTTTTAAGTTTGGGGGTGGTTTACTGACACAACCAACTGATACACTGATACAACAATAAACACTCTTTTATATTTTACCTAGATTTATCAATTATTAACGTTTTACCATATTTGCTCTGTCATTCTTTTTATGCTTCTTCCCCTGAAACATTTAAAGTTGCACATATCATGACACCTCCACCCTACTTTAGTGTCTGTCTCCTAAGAAATAAGGACATTCCCTTACATAACCATAATTTCTTTAATCACACCTAAGACATTTAATATTGTTTACAATATTTACAATTTAATATTGCTACAATCATCTAATACAGAGTCCATATT